CCTATATATATTTTCACAGATGTTATTGGTCAAGTTGTTTCCTCCGGTGGAATTGAAGTGATTCTTAATCGTAACAACAAAGAAACCAAGAAAATTGTGTTTCAGCTCAGAGACAATGAGTAATCACTTATATTTCCAAAATCAAACCGTTATCAGTAACATTAATATATATGATCAAATATTCATAATCAAAACAATCTTATTACAGCGACATTCGTCTCTCATGTACTTTATGGGGAAATTATGCTGACTTGCTTAACAAGGCAATACATGAGGCAAATGATGGCATGGTCATTTGTTTATTGAGATTTGTCAAGCAAAATCTTTACAAAGGTAATAATTGGATTCATGAATCCATTTAATTTATTACCATATCTGTTCAATACCTTTATTTCCTGTAATATGTTTTAACTTCTCATGTATCATATTATTGCAGACACACGATACATTGAAAATGCTTTTGAATCTTCCATTCTGTTGATCAATCCACAAATACAAGAGATGGAATCATTTAAGAGCATGTATGTAATAATATCTTTCATTTATATATTCCATTAATTTATCTTTGGTTTTAAACGATATATGCTTTTGGAATGTAGACTTCCAAATGATGGCTTGGCTTTGACAATCAACTCTTCTGGTGATAAAGCGATTTATTTCCCCAAAGATGATAATGAAGGCATTGACTACCCTAGGGTTACAATATCTGAGATGCTTGGTTACTCTCAGGTAATATATATCTTCTATCTATTAGAATTAATTTAATCGAATATGATTGTACTTTAAACCTTGGTAATTGGGTTGAATTTTTCTCTAAAATATTTTTCTAATTACAAATTATATATCGTAGGCAGGAAATTGTAGACTGATTTGTACAATCTCCGGAATTGATACCGATATGGGATGGTATTATTTTTGTTGTCGCCCATGTAACAAAAAGGTGTTTAAGGATGATGCTGTGAAAATCGAAGATGTGAAGAAGCCAATTAAACCAAGGTTTTGGTGTGAAGAATGTGATGCTTGGGCTAAAATAATAGTTCCAAAGTACGTATATCGTTTTACATACTTTAATAATTAACTATGTTATATATACTATCTACACTTATATCCCATACTTGATATTAATATGAAATTTTTTCGTTTATAGATACAAACTCCATTTGTCGATCATGGATCACACTGGTGAAAGCAAATGTTTTTTGTTTGATAGTTGGGCTAAAAAGATCCTTGGAGGTGCTCCTGCTTCTGAATTTCTTAATGGATCCTTTGATGAGGTATGCTTATAACACTGAATTAAAATTTATTCTTAATGCGTCTAAATCATAAATCGTAAATTAAATTTACTCTTAAACTTTGGTTGATGCAGATTGAGGATCCAAATGCAATTCCTGATCAAATTAAAGCATTGGTTGGGAAAACTTTCCAATTTCTAATAACCGTTGGAAACGAAAATGTATATGGAGGGTATGAGTTCTACAAGGTGTCTAATGTTTGGTCAGGCGACAAATTCATTGAAATTGCTAATGAAGAGTCCGAAAGTTATTTAGAGCATAACAGCATATTGTCTTCTGATCAGGTTTAATTCCTTTTTAAATTTTGCTGACAATTTTTTTTAAGAGGTTATTGGACCAGTAAAAATATATTTTGACATAAAAGCAGAAAGATTATATCTCATTCATCTCATTTACTGTTTCAGGCTTCCCTAATGATTACCAATGGTACAGAACCTTCTGAAACAGATTTGAGTTCCTCTTCTACACCTTCATCAAAGCGGAAGTCTGACAGCAGTGGTAATGGAAGTGATCGTTCAAGTTCCACCAAAAAACTGTGCTCCAAGATTGATACTATTCATGTTGATGGAGAAGAAGATTTGAGGAAAGATTTGAATGAAGAGATTACAAGACAAGAAGAAGACCAAGGCAATAAGTAGTCAATGACTACTAATTTTAATTATCAACTTAAATTCAGTTATCGTATTGCTTGCTTTCGTTGGAACATTTTAAGTCGTTATATTTCTACATTTCTTTTAATTTTATTTTCGGATTGTTAAACAATTCTGTTTTATTTCAAGGTTTTTTGGATTTTAAGTATTTTCCTTGGATTTGTTCGATTTTTTTGATTTTCTTTCCTTAATATCAAAAACTTAATATTATACTAGCTATGGAATATATTAGGTTATATTAGGTTATATAACAATATCAAATCTATGTAAAACGGATAGCAATAGTGATAGTAGGCCAACTAAAAAAGTTTATATGAGCTTGAAGCCCAAATGAAAATTGATATATTAGGTTATAATTAAGTACAAAATAAAAATAATAGCAAATCTATGTAAAATGTATAGCAATATAGATAGTAGGCCAACTAAAAAATTGTTAATGAGCTTCAAGCCCAAATGAAAATTTTCCAAATGGTCAACCTTCCCACATTTTTATTTATTACATTAAACAGTTTATACATATACACTAGATTACATAGATGTTAGGTTATAAATAGTTCTCTTAAACAAATAAATAATTCGAAACCTCCAATTCGAAATTATCCAAAGTTGGATTTCCAAAAATCTCAAAAGATATTTACATCATTCCCTTTGATTAGTACATTTTCCAAAAGCTGACTAACTTTTTATATCTTCAATAATAGAAAAAGAATTAGATTTATTAATAAATTATATAATTTTGGTAAAGAAAATTTGGAAAAAATCCTTTTGCTTGCTTTGCATGTTATGATTTGACATGCATGCCTACAAAATCGTGTAGGATAACTCTTTCCAATAAAAAAAGGAAAAAAATATTTTCAAAATATTTATTTCACATTTACGATTCATCTTCTACACAAAATCAACTTTAAGAATCATTACTTACCATTGAATATCGAAATAGTAATCTTCTCTTTCAACTTTACCAAAAAAAAAAAAATGGCTGAAAACGAAGAGTTTCTCTGTGAGATCGAGAGTGTAGCAGATCTGAATCCTAATAAGACGAGCTGGTTCATCTTCGTGAAGGTGTTGAGGAAGTGGAGGCCTCCAATCAACTGTTTAGGGCAAATGACTGAGATGATTCTTTGTGATGAAACGGTAAAATTTCATCATTTTTTTCTCCTAATACTTTTAGGTTTTGCTTTTATAGAGATTAACCAGTTAAAATACTTAAACGATTTCAGTTTAAAGTTGGTTTTTATCAAATATTTACAGGGTAAAAGAATAGATGCAACTATTCCTCCAATCTCTTACATGTTTGACTTCGAAAGGGATATAGTAGAAGGTGAATGGTACTTGATGTCCAACTTTCGAGTGATAAACCCTCCAAAATTCCCTAGAAACTCAAACCATCGTTATCAGATAAAGTGTCTCTATGAGACAAACATGAATCATGTTGATCCAAGATCTGAATCTCACTTCTTTGATTTTCTGTCGTTTACCTACATAAACGCTAATCGGATCAATGACTCTTTCGTTCATGGTAAGGATATTTATTACTTTGGATAATTTTCAATATTTTCTTGATAAAAACATTAATATATGGTTGGAACTTTATAATATTTTTCTAGATGCTTTTGGTGTTGTTTGGACTGTCTCGGCCATTAAGAGAATTCCATGGGTTGCTACTGAAAATGCAATACAAGATGACTGTCCATTGGTAGAGATTGAATTTAAGGATTCAACGTAAGTATTGTTGATTTAGCTTTCCGTTTAATGTTTGATTGGTTTAATATAATTAGTTTATGTCATATATTTATACCTTTTAAATTTGGAAAAATTTTAGTGGTGAGATTGTCAAATGTTGTGCTGTGGGAGAATACTGTGATCGGTTCATGCATAGCTGGCGTAACAAAGGATATGACGAGGAGTTCAATTTCCAGTTGGGTAATATGCCAGTAGTTTGTGTTCTTCGCCATTGGAGAGTCTCTACTTACGAAGGTATGATATTGATAATTTAAGAATTCGACAATGATAGTATCATTTACATATTAATCTTCATATTTAACCAAATTCAAATATTGTTGGTGTAGGGGAACCATGTCTCATCTCTGGATTCCGTTGCTCTAGCATCTTCATGGATCATGATTTCGATGAAATAGACATAGAGAACTTACTGTAAGTTGTTTCAATTGATTTTTACACATGAAGCAATGTAGGTTCTTTAATTAAACATGATCCTAATGTCACTATCATCTATGTTTTTGGTTTCAGGACTGGCTTCTTAGCCGATGTTATTGTCGATAATGGTCCAAATGATGTGGAAGATAACTAAAGAAGCTCATCTATCTAAGTCGTTTTTGGTTTGGTTGTTCCAGATCAATCCTTTTTATAATGTTTAGATTATGTAATGAACTTAAACCTATTTATCTCTGTTCGTATGGTTTTAATTCTTATCTTTTATTATGAAAAACTTAAACGATGACCATGTTTTATGGTCTTTTAATGGATGTTAACTATTAGCTATATTTTTCCTCTTCCCATTTGAATTATATTTTAAACTTTCCATATTTTATTAAATACATATTGGGCTTGAATTTTAAAATTGGGCTTAAGACCATATTTAACTTAGAAGTAACAAATTGTAATCTTACATATGAAAATTCCGAAAATAACAAATGTAAAACTTATAGATTGGACTTCAATTACCATTTAATTTATAATCATACAAGCTTAAGTTGGGCCGAAAACTATTCTATATCCTTGATTATATCTTCAACATATATGTAATAGTATAAATTTGGAAAATATTGATAAACAATTTATGTAAAAATCCTAACAACTGCTTATATTATGTAATAAAATAATACTGATTACCTTTTTTTGGGGAAACATTTACTTATTCAGAATAGCAAATACAATATTAAGTATAGGAATATTTTTCAGATCAAAACCATTTACTCCTAAATATGCGAAGATAACTGTTCTATTTTATTAGTTAGAATATCACTGCAAAATTCTCTTATCTATATAGCAAAAACACGAACCAATTTGATTCCTTACCTAAAGATTCAACATGAAACGAAAAAAAGAGGGTAAGGAAAATCGAAACAAAGGAGAAATAGCTAATGAAAGTGCCTCAAAGAAATCTCGGAAGGCTGATTGTTCCGAAAACATAGACCCATTAAGACCAAGCATTCGATGTAATCAAACAGTCCCTATGAAATCCGTTTTTGGAAGAGTTCTTACGGATATAACAAATATACAAGATTCAAGGGGGCGACAAAAAAATCATGGAGCTTCTTCAAGTGCATCAGTCCTGACTACTTCACAAATCTCCTCTTTGACCCCTCCAAGTGTTGCAAAACCAGTTGGTGGTAAGTAAATAGTTTGTGTAATTATAATCTTTGTTCAAAAATGACCTATAAATGTTTTTGGACTCTAACACTCTATAATTTTTGGATATATTAGGTCAACACAAAAGACAAGCTTCACAAGTTTTGGGCGATATATCTAATCAAAATAAACTGAATCCAAATTTTGGTCCAATTCGTCGGCTTTCTACTCTTAAAAAAAATGGAAGAAAGCAACAATATCAGACAGGTAAGTTAAACATATACATTAGCCTTACATTATTTAAAAATAAATGATTAATTGTCTAATTTATTATTTAATAACAAAAAACTATAGTAACTCCCTCTTCGGCTCGACCACTACAAGTACAAATGACTGTAGAGGATTCTCATATTGGTAATGTATTCAGAGGAAATACAAATGAATCAGTTATAACTAATGACATCTCCAGAAGTATAAAAGAGAAAAATGTCTCCACTAAATCAGGTATTCTTTAAAAACTGTTAATTGTTTTTTTTTGTACTGATTAACATTATGATCTAGGAGTATATAAATTAATAATATTATATCAAAATATTTGTTCATTCTATAGGAACCATTAATCTGCGAAACACATATCCATCATTCGATCCAAATACTATTAGTAAATTCAGAGATTTGGATGATGATTCAGAAGACTCGGACCCTTGCCAAATAGACGTTGAGGATGATGATAGTGGTATATTACTGTTTTTAAAATATGAAAAAACTTTACTAATTAGATGTCATTTGTTTGGTACTTCTTAAAAACTACATTATTTTAATTTCTCATTTTTATCAGATTCTGAGGAATATGAAGATCAAGTTTTTGATTGTAGTAGTCAAGAAGATGAACCTTATTATTCATCAGAAGATGATCATACACCCGAGGAGATACATAAGCAAAGCAAAACCCGTGAAGAATTGTTTAAGGTCATTGACGACAGTTTTGAAAAGTTCTTTGGGGCAACAACACCCACATCTGAAAGAAAAAGAAAAACACAAGCAAAAGATGGTATGTATCCATTTTGGTTTTTATATGAATTGAAAAAAATTTAACTTTGTGTTTTTTGAATTTTTAATAGCTTATGTTGATGATGGTGACCCTGTACATTCATGCCAATACTGTGGTGCACTGTTTTGGTATGGTGAAAGGATTAATAAAAGGAGGAATACAAATAACCCAATATACAGCGGATGTTGTATGCATGGTCAAATTGTTCTACCAGAGCTGAAAGAGCCACCTGAATTATTGTTGTGGTTGCTAACTTCAGATGATCAACTTGCCAAGCATTTCAGGGAAAATATAAGAGCTTACAACATGATATTCTCATTTACGTCAATTGGTGGGAAGGTTGACCATGCAGTAAAAAAGGGTCATGGACCTTCTATGTTTGCACTACAAGGAGAGAACTATCATCTCATGGGTGCCTTGAAACCAAAAGATGGCGATCATGCAAAATTCCAACAATTATATATTGTTGATACTGAAAACGAAGTCGCTAATCGGATGAATATTATGAGGTATATTAACTCATAACATATTTTAC